CTGGCTTTTTGAAGGGTGAATCCTTCTTTTTCTCCAGCGTAGAGGTGTAGAAGGACAGAACCAGCCTTTTTGAGTCTTTTCCTTTGATGCCGGTTGGCCGGCAAATCGCTCCATTCACCTGGGGCCATCACCAATGCATTCTTCAGGTGTTCCGGCAAAGTAGTCAACGTGGGGTGTCCATCCACCAAGGACTGCAGCCATTCGAGCTCCTTCTCGGGATGAACTTCTACTGCCACGCGTGCTTGCTTGACCAGGAGGGCTTTTTCTTCGAACTCCTTGATGAGGTCCAGGGCAAGCTTCTTTGGGATTTGTGGACATCCAGCTTGAATGCTGATGGGCAAAGTTCCTTTGGTGGGATGCATGACCTTCATACCCCCTTTTTTCATGAAATCTGGCAGCCTCCTTCAGCCAACATTCCAAGCGGCACGATGGGCTCCACAGCCAGATTCGTAGTGACCATGACTCCAGCATCGGTCATCAGCAATGGCGTTGTTCTGCCATCTGCAAGCGAGACAGAGACCTTCTTCAATGCCTCAATTCGATCGGTGGCCACCAAAGGTCGCAGAGGATGTGTGGCCCCTGAGTCCAGTAGCCCCCATTCTTCTTCAGTTGACCCAAGCTTGGCCTCTCTCACCTTTGTAAGCTTCAGGGTCTTGATGCTCTTCTTGATCTCGTCCAACTGTTGGTGGAGGCGACTCAACTTCGCTTCCGAGGCTTCCTTGTCCTTCATGACTTTGAGCATACGATTGGCTTCGGCCAAAAGCTCATCCATCTTGTCATCTTCTTGACCTCCACTTCCCTTCTCACCATCTTCACCCTTCACCACTTTATCTTCCTCCTTTTCCTTCTTCACCTTAGGCGGGGAGTTTGGAGCGCTGATGGTAGGTGACTCTTTGGTAGGGCATGAAGGCGCCAAGTGCTTTGTAGAACCACAGGTGTAGCACCTCTTTTGTTCATCCTTTTGATCATGGCTCCATTTGCAATCACGGCCACGACGACACCCGTTCTCCGACAGGTAGAACTTGCATGGAGATTTCACCTCCATCTCCTTGATCTTTGCTTCATTTCCTTTTGTCTTTTGGGTCGCGGAGCCATCTTCCAGCTTCTTGACCTTTCCTTCTTCCCTTTTCCCACCTCCTCCACTTCGCTTCTCAGCCAGGGAAAGCTGGTCGATCTCGGCGATGAGGTGCGTGGCAAACTGACTGACCGACAGGGCATTGGGGTTGGTGTCAACCTGCAAGGCATTTCGAGCCAGTGACACCCGAAATCGAAGGCTTTCATTGCCTTCTAGAGTCCGCCTCGTCAGGCGATTGAGCCCCTTGACCAGGATCGAAGGATCAGGCTCCCAAGCCGCCCTTCCTCTGTCACCCGGAGTGGCTCTTGACCTTGGAGGTTCAGGAACATGTTCTTCAGGGGTCCCAAACGTAGAAGGTGGCCGACCAGCTTCATGATCTTCTTTCTCCTTCTGAACCCCTTTTTCTTCTTGTTCTTCCTTCAACCTTCTTTCATGAAGCTCTTGTTGAAGTAGGGTGTTTTCTAACTTTTGTTGATGGCACAATTCCGTCAACACACGAACTTCCTGTGAGATTTGCCACCTCCACATGACTTCTTCTTCCTGTTCACGTAGGTGGTCTTGTTGATCTAGGTCAAACACTTCAGGCCCATGACCCTTTTGGTGCCCTTCGTAGGAGCCGCCTTCTTCTTCATGGCCTTCATCAAAGAGATCGCTTCCTTTTCTTTCTTCTTTCACCTCATACCTCTTCTCCTCCTCCTTCATGAAGTCCGGGCGCTTCACTTGGCCTGGGGGATCATCGCCTGAGGAGACTGGAGGCACCAAGGTACCATAGAGCATCGGTGCTTGCCTTGCCTGAGCTCGGGCTGACCTGAGTTGATCCTCAGTGAACAACGGTGGCTGTCCTGATGGCAGTGCAAGCGGCGCCAAAACACGAGGTTTGCCCTTAGGGCCTTCGAGGGCTTCTTTTGGGCTTATCTTTGACCCACCACTTCTAAACACTTCCAGCTCTGTCGGACCGGTTCCGGTGTCTGGGCGTCCAGTGGTGCTTCTTGTTGGAGTACTGAGGGCTTTCTCCAACCCTTTCACCTCCACTTCCAACCCATCCCTTCCAGGGGCGACAGGCTGCTGAAAGGCCGGCACCAACTCTTGGCCAACCAACTGAAGATCTTCTTGATGAAGCTCCTCATCATCAGCTCCAGCTCTGGATGAGCGCCGTCGTCGCAGCATGGCCATCTCCGGAGCGCGGGAGCTAGATGAATCCCCTTGCGTTGGGCTCATAACCTGTTCATGCAGGGGTTTCACCTGACCTTGATTGGGCATGTTCCTCACCCAACACTTCAAAACCTTTCCCTTCACTCGGACACAAACAGCTTTTCTTTTTCTGCTGATGTGCTTCGGTCTTGGGTGACCGTCTTGAGCTCATTGAGCTCGCTTGCTCAAAAGGGCTGCAGCGTTCGACATGCCGCATGAAGTGTCTTCTGTCAACAGTAACAATTCCATGAGAACACCCTGAGAGATCACATTCTGAACATTACATCAGTATGTTGAGCCATCCGTCTTAAATACTACGAGAGCAAGGTCGCAAGTTACTCCTGGATCTTCATGCAACACATATGGGTGCGGAAACTTCAGAATATGTGGTGGAATGTGGTGGACGTAATTATTTCTGTTCACCCCCTGGCCCAATCAATGGGGGCGGATCGGAACGGCGGGTGTCGGTCTCTCTATTTGGATACACACCCATCTAGATGGAGAGACATCATTGGTGTTTGGGATTTTGAACTCTTGACACTTTGTCATTGATCCTGATTTGACCTCCTGGATGGGGATGGTTTTAGATGAATCCATGGCCAGCAGCTGACGCACCTTCCAGCAACATATCACATCTGCATAACACCCTTTAGGTGAAACTGAAAGGGGACTAGGGGCTACAAAAACAAAATGTGTCCTATCCCCACACTCTCAAACTTACTCTCTCCAACCTACTAATCTGCACACATCCATCTGGAGCAACCCCGGGTGCCACACAAAGCCCCCCTAACTCATATCATCATATCATATCATCATATCATATCATCATAGCACACGCGGTTTTGGTTGCAACCGGGGCCTTAGAGGCAAAGCGGAGCGAGGACAATGTCTCCCCAAGATGCTCCTGCATGCGACATACGTGGGAGTGAAACCGGTATAATTTGGCCGGTGGCTTACTTGTTGATGACTTGATGCAGCCAGCGGCGGGGCAACATATATCACAAGCAAGTCTCAAGCTTCAAGTTCAAAGTCCAAACTACTCCACTCAGTTCTCGTTGTTGCGCCAAAGTCAAACAGCATTTCAAACATGTTCAATCCATTTCCAAGAACCTTCACTCGGACTCTATACATGACCCCTGAAAACTGGCGTAACCAAAGGTTCGCTTACCAACATCCACCAACTCTTTGCAGGTGTGCTTTCCGATTACCTTAGATTCCGTCCCATATATACCCGCCTGGAAGGGGGACACATTCACAAACCTCAGAGCCAATTCTCTCCAAGTTGGTCAGGATCCGAAAGGGCAGCAAACCGGCACCTGTATAAACCATATTCATATTCAAAAATACAATATATATATATATAATGATATGGCATATATGGTACCATGTTTGCTTCTCATGCAGGCGCTTCGACTTGAACAGTTTCAGACCTATGCTTGCACTTGTTGATCCACAACTCACCACATCTTCAGAAAATTCCTAGTTCAACTTACCGGATGACCAAACGAACAGGTCGACCTCCTTCTGGAGATCGATCAGTATCATCTACCTCCGGTCCTGTCACAGATCCTAGAAGCGAACCAATCGACGAACAAGCACCTCCGAGAAGTCATGATCACATATTTGTCGGAGATAATCAAATATGCCCCAACACAAGCAAGTTCTCAAGCAAAGAGAAAACAATTGAGAAACGCATCCACTTCAATGGATCTAGTGGGTTGAGGACTTAGAACAATCAAATGCGCTGAAGTGCACCACCTACTTCAGATTTTCTTGGTTCCTGGGGTATTGTATATAGTTATATATATATATATGTCCCCCAAAAAGAAAAAGTATATAAACCGGTCTGGATACATATATAGACTCATATAATATATAGATCCTATATTTCTTTATAGATTACACATAGAATTCGTAGATCGCCCTCCCAAAACCCTCCAGGGCTCCGAACATCAAGGTCTTCGAGTCACCGCCCAAGGAGTCGCGGAGCAACATCGTCAGGCGGCTGTTGCGGAACCTCGGGACGCACGGCGCCGGGTCCCTTTCGGTCGTCTGCGGTTGGTGCGTGGTTCGGTCGCACCGAGCACCGGGGGGTGCGATTCAGCAGCAAAAAAGGCCTCCAAGTAACGACTTGCAGTCTTAAAGGCACATTGAGGTTCATTCTTCATTTATGTGTAGATTTCTCAAGCATCTGGTTTTTCATGGTTTTTCATGCTGAGGCCACTTGCTAGGACTTTCATCCCGCATCGGGTAGATGTGGAGGGATACGAGTGACTGGGCAAGACCAGCGGCTAGGTGACTAACTTGGAACAGTCAAAACCTTGCCGGGCCGCGTCACACATCACAGGTCCGGTCCACACAGGCGACTTTCCATTCTTCCAGCGAATACAGTAGATGGTTTCGGATCATGAATGATGTTCAGGGGGCCGTTCAAGCACGAAAAAGGCTCGAGCTTGGCGATGATGAGGGAACTGGAACAAATGCAGCAGACTGTGACAAACATGACAAACGTTGTTGTAGAATTCACTGCGTTTAAAAATTGTTGGGGAGCAAACCCAACTGCACTACTCCTCAGCTCCTTTCTTCTCAAGCAATTCAGAGCGTGCAACGGGCAGTTTTTTGCCCACGGGAAAATGTGCTGCACGTCTTGATTTGAAGAGGCGTGGAGGAGCATCTTAAAAAGGACAAGCGTCCTTCCACTCCTCATCACTCCACTTCTTCCTATAATGCCATACTATGCCACCAACTCCCGCAGCGTCTTCCACCCTTCCATCACCAGCGTCTTGGGGCTTCCACTGCCCGGCTCCGCCCAAACAGCTTGGCGCTCGGAGCGCCGGGAGGGGCAGCCCTGCTGGATCCAGGAGACGCAGTGGCGGTAGCCATCCTCGAAGAGCCGGAGCATGTCTTGAGCATCCACCTGAGCAGCCACTGGCAGTGGAGTCAGTATGAGGATGGACAAGCTCGACATGCAATTATACATATATCATATATGGCCACAATACACGGTTTGTATTTTGTATGTTCAAGTGTTGATTAAATTTAGCGCTCTGGTGATGGAGTCCCCTCTACACACCCATGCCAGCGCCCTCCAACAGGTTACTAGCTGAGAATCTGAGTGCGTATGGGTTGCCAAGTGGTTGCTGGTTAAACTTGCTTCATGGCAATCCAAATGCTAAAAAATCTTGTCTTGACTGGTTCCTTACAATTCGCATTTGGGTGGACCTGGCATGGCTTTGCTCCATTCTACTGAACCCAAACGCAATCAATGGCTTGCTCAGTCACCCCACTGAAAACTATCATGGACCCTGACAATCATTGGTTTGTAGAGGAAAACCGTCATTCACGGTGCCAGTCTCAGGGTGCATGTTTGTTTTTGGGAGTGCTAAATCATGCTAAATCAATCCGTCGTAACTTAAATTGTGAGCTTGTCAAATATGGATCGCCGAGCTGCGGGCTGAAACACCAAAGTGCGGGGATATTCTTCAGCAGGGCCCACGTCAGGCACGTTGGAATGGTATGGGCTGAAGACCTCAGATGTGTCCACAGAAGCTGCAAAACATATAGATTTACAGCATCATCGGGAAGTCATATCAAATGCCTGGACATGGGAGAAAATCTACCCCATGTAGTATATAAGCGAAGTTTGTTTTCCCGCGCGCCAGACCAAACCGTCAAATTGGTGCGAAAGCGGTCAAAGACAAAGAATGTAACAAGGTTGTTACAGGTCCTTGGACCGTTGAGGGACGACATCGCCATCGATCAAGAAGCCAAACGGGCCCCCATCCAGACAAGGACCCAAGTCCTTCAGCCAAATAGGCTCCTGCAGGGTGGCGGGTTGGATTCTAATGGTCAACACCGAGTGAATAATCATGGATTTGTGAATCCGTGTGATAATTCCCGCCTATTCTATCTAACCATGCAAAAGCTTGAAGGCCCTCCCCTTCATTCCCCTTCATCTCCTCCCAAACCACTGGGATGTAGCACGAAGCCAGCACAGTCTCCTCCACATCCTTGGCGCTTTGAAAGTCTTTGATCTCCTTCAACTGCGGCGCCACGTCGAACGCCGTGACCCCCACCTGCAAAGTTCCCGGCTCCACAGACACGCTCGCGCTGGTGGCATGGCGCAAAATCTGGCGGATGGTGGTGGAATAAGCGCCCAGCCAGCCACCACGGCGATGGTTTAGAGTGGCCAAAAGGCCCAAACACTCCTGGAGAGCGGAAAGAGAGTGAAGTAGATTCAGGAATAAATGGGATGAAAGGACTGGGAGAATGAGAAGAACAAAGATTCTGTCATCAAGTCTAGTGATGGCGTGCTCTGGTCAAACATCCAACCATCAATCATGCAATAAACCTATAAGTATTGCAATGTATTATATATATAATATCTAGGTTCACTGCACTGGGTTCAAACGGAAGTGGCCCGAGAATGGTCAAACAGCAAACTGGCTGCATCTGGCTGCCCGGAACCGTGCCGGAAGATCCCAAAGGCAGGGGTTCCAAAGCTCATCCCTGTCATTCTACAACATGCCGTGGAGGTGCGTATTATTTAAACAACAAAACAATCACGCACACACACACACACCTCATGACACACGACAAAGTCACTAAGTTGATTACCTCTCTATCTGCTCTTCAATATTCTTCAATGCAAAGACATGATCTGTATAAAGTTTCAAGCTCTTCAAACATCCGCCATGATGGGAGGTTTCATTTGACACAGGAAGCGGGCAAACGAAGCAGGTGTCAATCTTCTACGAAACGGAAACTGAATTGCTGGATTCTCTGGTGAAGGTCTCTAGCCATCCTTAAGTAGGTCGATTCTGTGTGAAATGAAAGGCGCATGTGTGTGTGAGACTTGGGAAATGTACATACATGTACTGCATGTTCCATGCTCCACCACCCAGGACCCACACCAAATTTGTTTTATGTGTATGTGTATGTGTGTGTGTGTGTGTTTCGCTATCATGTTTTGCTATTCAATCGGGTGCCCCCAAGGGATCCCAAGGACCTCGAAGAGCTGTGGCACATTAGAGCCCATGGCCAGCAAGGCAGCCTTGGTAAGTTCCGACCCACTCATGGCAACTCAAACATTGAACTTCTTCGCGGCTGAGACTGGAGTGGCACTTGCCAACTTGCAAAACACTGGAAGCTTGTCAATCCGCTTTTCCACTGTGAAGCACGGCTTGTCACACCTCCAAGCGACAACCAATGCGCCCGAGGACACACCCTTGAAAACGAGTCCTCACGTGTGCAAGGAATATGGCCGACAAAAAGGATCAAGCAATACAAACTGTACAAAATATATAGAAAGAGAGGTGGCCCTGAGTTGGAGCAGCTTGTGGGTTGCTCTGGTCTTTTTCAAACATCTATATAGATCCAGCAATTGAGCAAAACTCGTCTCGGTAACGAACACCCTCCAGAGACTGCTCCTGGCTTGACGCTCTGGAAGTTGCTGGCACGCTGCAGGCAGGCGGCCGCGCCCAGCATGTAGAGACAAAGGTTGCTACAAGGAGCGCAGGACAAAACAAAGCCCTCGGCGAAGCGCTCGGGCAAAGTCACCTGGGCAACTTCACACCAGTCATTGATGTAAGTGAAATGATGCAGTGACCCGTAAAGCATTGGAACATAATATATATTCGAAGAAACATACCTGGAAGACGCTGACCACCAGCAGCAGAAACCAAATTGTTACGTGAACCTCTAGGCTAACCACTTTCCTCGGTCCAGCCCCGCGAGTTGCTCCACCTGAAGCAACATAACAACATGAAACTCTTAACCCCTCCCGGGACCTCCTAGACACCACCAGGCAGTTCCAAGCTACGATCGGCAACGTTTCCAGCAACGCACCCATCGTCTCACGGGATGGCGAAGGCAAGCGTCGCAAAGGAGGAGCTTGGTGTGGGCCTAGCATCCTCGGATTGGCTGGATGTAGGGAAGCAATGGAAGAGAGAACCTCTCGTTGCACCTCCACATTCCACGACTAGGAACATCATACAGTTCTTGCTGTGTGTTGAACAAGTCAGCTGCAATGGATCAAGAACAGTCTCCCACATAGCAACAAACAACTACAAATAGAAAACTGCATGTCTACTATGTCTACCAAGCAATGTTGCATAACGTGGTCACTAAATTCCGCCGGTTCATTTGCTCTGAGAATCAAGGAGATCGCCCTCAACGAGATGAGAAACCTCGGCTTGAAAAACAACAAATCTGAGCGGAACTGGTCCAAAAGAACGGGCAATGGTGCTAAAAGGAAAGCACACACAGATCCAGTTATATACATATATATATATATCTAAGGGATTCTAAGGGTAACTAAATCATGGTTACACCCTGGAAGACTAACATGGACCCTGAAAACCACTGGTTGGTAGAGGAAAACAATCTTCTAGGGGGGCATTGTCAGGGTCTATGTTAGTTTCCGGGAGTGTATGTCATGCTTTCTCAGCAAAACCCTCCAAAAGTTGCTCGACGATCAACAAATACTCCTCAAAGGCCAGAGCTTCCAACAAGTCCCTGGGATTCCAAATTCCCTGCCAAGTTAGTCAGCGAATCAAGGTGGTGAGGCAGTGAAGCTTCGAGTTGAGTGTTGTGCTCTGTGACTTTGTCTCGAGATAGCGTGTCGGACGAGGAGATCAAGACTTGCCAAACAAACATTCTACTAACCCTCCATGTCACCAACATCCCTCAGCATGCAAATAGTACCATGAACCTTTTTCACTACTCAGGAAATCATTCTCGCACGTGGCTTCCTTGCATTCCGGGCCACGCGGCGGTGGCCACATGACAGCAAATCCAAAAGCTTCGCAGCACCACGAAAGCGAGGAGATCATTCACTTGGGCCATTCACTTCTCGCAGCAAGCAGCAGCTTCTCAGCTGAGCAGCTGGCGATCTTTTGATGCGGATAATGCGGGAACTGTGGGATGAAGTGCACCCAAGAATTGGCGCAACTATCTCCCACAAATTGGGGTTTCTGAGTAGGAACCCCTAATTTTTCATTGGGTCCAGTTGCGCTACATTCTTTTTCAGGGCCACGCTGCTGATGGGTCATTGGTAATGTGGTCACCTCAAACACAGCAAAGACTGCACGTGATGAAATAAGAAAGTTGTTTGGGCGCCTCCATTCAAGTATCCTGTAGCGGCTCAATGCTGTGTATGAGAGCGGGGTTAAGCTTGCATTTCTGTCGGAACATGCAAACCTGAGGGTCTTAAATCGGGCTGGCTAGAGGCTAGAGCCACTCCACGGTCCACCCAAAAAGCATCAAAGAGCAAACATAGCGGCAAACCCGATTACGAGGGCGAGGATTTGATGTTTATGGAGGCGATGACACGCTCGTGTCAGCTGAAAATATCTGAGCATAAACGTGCTTGAGCCAAAATGTGCAAAGAACGGGTAGAACTTTGGCAATTTCCACATACCAGATCAAGTCCAAGTTGCGAAATCCGAAAACACCCCCAACCAACTCCAAAATAAAACAAACAAAATGTGGCACCGTCTCCCCACAAGGAGGGTTTGCTCTGAGCTCTACTCTGGCAAACGCTTGCGTATGTTCCACCAGACTCACCAGAGGTTTCATTTCGACCACCTGCAACTAGTTTCCCCAACCCGATCGTCCATGTTTCGCGCACATTAATCAAGGAGGATTCAACGAAAGCTGCACACTCCACGTGCTGTGCGCTGTTTTGGCTTTTCGTCTCATCAAAGCCTCCTGCATGAGATATGCAGCAGTCCTCTGGTGCGACTGATCGCGCCTTCTGTGCGAAGGATAGAATATGAAGATTATAACGTGGACACAACCACTTTGTACTGTGTACATCGCAAAAGCACCGGAGGCAACATCCTGGGTTGGCAGAAGAATGATCCATCTCGGCCAGGTCAGAACCTAAACCACTTGTGGAGAAAGGATCCATTCGTCGTGGGTGATCCTATGAAAACATCATTGCATGCTTGAAACATCATGTCCACACATATCCTTCTGTTTGGGTGTTCTTTTCTCAGAATTGCAATTCATTTAGCGCCTGGAAGTGAGCTTTCATTCCTATGGATTCGTCGAAGTCTTCCCGCCAGATTGGGAGAACTTGCCCAGTGTCCCAGCGTGGTTGCGATTTGTGACCGTGAACTGTCTTGCGCCGCTGCGCTGCCACGCCACTGCGCTGTGCTATGGCTTTGTTCTTGTCGCCGCTGCGCCGCTGCGCTGCTACGCCACTGCGCTGTGCTATGGTTTTGTTCTTGTCGCCGCTGCGCCGCTGCGCTGCTCGCGCGTTTTGTGGTGTCTTTGAATTGTCTTGCGCCGCTGCGCCGCTACGCCACTGCGCTGTGGTATGGCTGTGTTCTTGTCTGTGGCGCGCCGCTGCGCTGCTGCGCCGCTGCTTTGCCACGCCGTTACGCCGTTACGCCGCGTAGCCCACTGTCTGCGCGGTGGCACATGTGCACTTCTGTTACGCCTTGTTGCTGTTGTTGTTGTTGTTGTTGTTGTTGATCTTCTTGTTGTTGATCTTCTTGTTGTTCTTCTTGTTGATCTTCTTGTTGCACTGTTGTTCTTCTTGTTCTGCTTGTCCTTGTTCTTGTTGTTGATCTTGTGCTTGTTATTGTTCTTGTTGTTGTTGTTGTTGTTCTTGTTCTTGATCTTGTGCTTGCTCTTGTTCTTGTTGTTGGACTTGTT